AAAAAGAAAAGGAAAAAGAAAAGGAAAAAGAAAAAGAAAAAGAAAAAGAAAAAGAGAAAGAGAAAGAGAAAGAAAAAGAAAAAGAAAAGAAAAAGAAAAAGAAAAAGAAAAAGAAAAAGAAAAAGAAAAAGAAAAAGAAAAAGAAAAAGAAAAAGAAAAAGAAAAAGAAAAAGAAAAAGAAAAAGAAAAAGAAAAAGAAAAAACTTAAATCTGCAGTTTGAGGGAAGCAGGAGCTAACTGGACTATGAATCTTGTTGATATTTAGTTTTGGTATTCTGGTCAAGAATAAACTCACTGTGGCTTTGTGATAGGGTCAAGACTGACAGCTCCATGGATTTTGATGCGACACTGCTTTTTTAGGGACTGTACAATGGAGCGATGCACAACGATTTTGCAGAGATCTCTTTTATCCGCACAGCTTCCACCATTGGTGTAAGTACTAGGGATCATCATTTTGGATACCACTTGCAAAGACTAGAAGTGAGTTCCTGAATTTTTGAGTTCCTGGACTTGTGAGAAAAAGACCTACTGGATACTCTGGCAGTCAACCAACATTTTCCCTTAAGGAGAGCAGCTCTTGTGCCACAGACAAACTGTCAAACTCTCTTGCTGAAGGAACCTGGATTATTCAGCCTGGAGAAGAGGAGGCACAGGGGATGCCTTATCACTTTCAACAACTCCCTGAAAGGGGGCAGTGGCAAAGGTGGGGGTCAGCCTCTTTTCCTAGGTATAGGATAGGATGAGAGGTAATTTCCTCAGGATGTGCCAGGGGAGGGTTCAGACTGGATATTAGGAAACATTTATTCTGAGAAAGAGCGGTAAGGCACTGGCACGGGCTGTCCAGAGAGGTGGTGGTGTCACCATCCCTGGAGGTGTTCAAGAAATGTGGAGTTACAGCACTGAGGGACACAGGTTAGTGGGCATGATGGGGATGGGCTGATAGTCGGACTACAAGATTTTACAGGTCTTTTCCAACCTTAATGATTCCATGATCTTATCATTAGAAGTTTGGCCTTAATTAATTACTAGCCTGTGAAATATACCAGAGTTTCCAACAGGTGGTTCCCTGCAGACAAGAGATTACAAAATTTCCTAACTGTCATGGCAAGACAGGTTCTTCTTCACAAAAGAATCTTCTTGCAAAAGAATCTTCTTCTCCTGTCCTTTTTAGAGTTGCTTATTGAGTAGTTCTTCTTCTGTAGTTCTTATGTACTTCTGTCTTCCCTTTCCTCTTATGTCTCAGTTTGTCAAAATCAAGCAGACAGTTGCCAAAGATCTTGAAACTACAGTAAGATTTAACTATCACTTGGTAATAATCCTGGCACTAGTAAATAGAGATGACTGTAGCCATTTTCCCACTATTCATATCTTTGACATCTTTTAGACTGTAGTTGTGAACACTTGACGCTAAGCAAATATTTTGGTGTTTTTTCACTTTTTTTTTCTTGTTAACCCAATCTTGACAGTTTTACAACATCATTGGCTTAATAAGAAATTTGTCCAATGGCATCTGTTCAGTCTGTGAGCAGAAAATATTTGTGGATACAAATGAAGAAGGGATGACTGAAAATACCCACCAGCTGTCCTGTAATCACACGTATCCTTTTTGTGTGATTATGGAACTGTCATTTTCTCCTCTTTTAAGCTGCATTAAAAAGTAATCACAACAGTAATAAATACCAAGGAAAAAAGAAAGCCCCCACATTCAGAAAGAATAAGACAGAAAAGTAAAAATCAGACTATGAAATATATTTCAGTTCTGTGACAAATTGAGTCCATGCCGTTCTTTGACAGATAAACTGAAGCAAGAATGGCAATAACCCTGGAGCTGCATACCCAGATCCACCTTTCAGATACTTCATGCCTGTCTATATTCTGGGGCAGCCCCAGCAAACCAGGCACGCTGACCCCTCAGCCAGGTCTTCTAGCTCAGGATCCTACGCACTGCAAAGGACTTCCCATCTATGCCTGGGTCTGTGTGTGACAAGTAGTTTTAAGGCAGGTGTGGAAGCCTCCCCAAAGGATGGCACAGTTGTAGCCTATAGCCTAGCAGAATACGCAGTGGCTGATTCTCAGGGGTCCAAACAGCCCATCATTGTGCACTCCGGAAAACAAGAAAGGCACAGCATTTGTGCTGGAACACTGTCACTAATCACTTCCTCCTGCAGAGCATAAGTCTTCTGGTTTCCTGTGTGCTGGAAAATGACTACTGGTCTGGATGTTCAGAACTTTGCTTTTTCTAACTATTCTAAATGTTTTAAGCCATTTGAAACTGCTGGGTTTTCAAACAAGGCAGTATCCATAATCAGCCATAAAAATTTTCTGTGGATGGTTTGAATACATTTTCAGATTGATGTTCTAAGCCTTGTTTACATTTGAAGGATTTACTGAAAATACACCTGATACCAGGTTTCATGGATTATGCATCTGTGGTTGGTTCAGAGTTGGCAAGAAACAGACTTGCCCATGCTGTGCCAAAAGGCTTGATTTGAAGATGGCGTTGAGTTACTTATATCCTTTCCCTAACAAGTGTGCTTTCGATTTGAATTTTCTAAACTGTGGCCTGATTACTTGCTAATTCTTGTTTTGATCTGCAGTGGAGGGATGAGATGGCCACATCAAATGAATGGAAAAACAATTATTATTAAAGAGCAATTATATTTAGGGAAGATGATAGTTTGTTTGGCTTTATCTTATGTAAAATCCAAGCAAGCTAAAAAAAAAAAAAGTATGTTTTTATCTTCCTCCTTGATTTTAAGACATTCTTAAATAATTTATATAATGAGAGGAGTGTTTTAAAGTATGTAAAGTATGTAAAGTTTTAGGACTATGCAGTGGCTTTTGTTCTTTAAATAATGAGATTGGTATAACCCACTTTCAGAACAAGTGCTATTTTTCCCCTCCTCTTAGTAAACTACATTTTTTCTCCAGCATAAGAAATATCTGTTGAAGATTTGCTGCTGTATCTCTAGAAAACTGCTTGAGTTAAAATAAATTTTTTTTATGTCCATTTTTGTGACTTCACAGTATGTGAGGAGGATATTTAATCTTACTCCTCCAAAAAAAAAGTAGTGAAGACAATTCAAAACATTAACCCAATACTTTCTCTTTGACTTCAGCTAAGGAAGACACCAAGATTTACCTACTGGTAATTTTTATCTCCAATTTCCTTAACAACAGATTAGGTGGGAACATGTATTACATGGGCTGACTCTGTAACCAGTTGTAAGCATAGTCCTATACATTAATTACTTCCTATATCTGGAACAGAAGTCAGAAATTAGTGAGAATGCAGAATTGGATATTTTCCTGTGCACTGCCCTATGCATATTTCACGCCTAATTGTAAAAGACCAGACAAAGTAGCTTTTGGTATAGCTGGTTGGTACAATTCTGCTATGCTATGTACCCTTTTGCAAGATCGGGTCTCTTTCCACATTACAGAAGGACTTTACAGCATATTAGGAAGGCATTTTTTAAAGAAATTGCTGCGTTTAATGAGAAGATTGTGCTAGAAAAAAAGTACTTATTTTCTTATTATACCCATTAAAAAAAAAAAAAAAAAAAAGGAAGTGCCAATATTTAAAGATTGTTTCATTGTTAAATACCTTCCTAGTGACTTCTAGTTAAAATTTTTACAGCAGTAAGTTGTGTAGCAGATAAGAAGAATTTTAAGTCAGATAATGGCTTTGTATACATCAAAGTCTGAAACATAGCACCCAAATAGTTTCATCATCTTATTAATGTAAGGTAATGTAAGATTACTTTTAGATTTTTTTCTTTTTTTTTCCCCTTGCCTCTTACAAGAGCTGCTGTACTGTAATTACTGCATATCCCAGTGTCCACTTGTAGAAAGACCTAATCACAGTAATGGTCATTATATGCTTGGTAGTCACATAGAACTCTCTGTGGAGGAAAAGCCACCTGAAATTTTGGCAAATATTTCCTGTTGTAGAGGTAGCTGGAGGTATGTGTCTGTTGGTAGAGGAAATGCTGGTCTAACTGCTTGTACTGTGAAGGCAGTGGAGAATGCAGAAGACTTTTCTCTTTTGGCCTTTACACATACACTTGTTTTGATGTTAAGTTAGTTATGGGCTGCCTTAACTTCTAATAATTGAGCCACTTCCCTTTTTTTAATAAGTGCATGTTCAGAATGAGAACATGTGATATTCACTGACTTTAAGGACAAATCATTTTGCCTGCTCTATTTCTGAACTGCTTGTAGCATCCAAAGTGATTTCCTCCTTATTTAAACTAAAATACAGTAGAATTAGATTAAGTGTTGGGAAGGAATTCTTTACTCAGAGAACAGCAAGGCATTGGCACAGGCTGCCCAGAGAAGCTGTGGATGCCAGGTTGGATAGGACTGTGAGCAGCCTTTCCTACTGGAAGGTATTCCTGACTATGGCTGAGCTTTGGAACTAAGTGGTCCTTAAGCTCCCTTCCAACTCAAGCTGTTCATGATTCTATCATCTAACCCCAGATAAAGTAATAAGTACTGTAAACGTTTCCATGGGAAGCCTTTCAAGATTTGCTTCTGTGCATACCTGCAAATGTCAGTCCCAAGAACATTATGCCTAAACACTGACCTGATCAAGCAGACAGTTAGTTATTAGGCTGACCAGATTCAAGCTGTTAAGGTTCGGCTGAAACTCTCTGCACCTGCAGGACAGGTGCCACCTGACACTCCCCTTCATTTTCAGATGACATCTGAAGGAAGAGCTTGGTGGTGGTGTCTCTGTTTACTCCACTTCTTCAGCAGTTACAATCCTTGTCCCAGCCATCTTCCTAAGATAACATGAGCCCATCCAACAGTGTTTGAGGTGGGAAAGTCTTCAGCTGCTCTGGCTTTGTGGACTAAGTTGCAGAGAACAAAGGTGAGGAACACTCACTTTGGGCTGGTGGATTGGAGAGAAGAGTATGGTCTTGAAATCAAAGACTACATTGGTATTGTGTTGACACACTTCAGGTGAGCACTTCAACAACTACACTTAAGCAAGTCAAAAAAGTGTTTGGACCCCCC